GTATTGCGAAAAACTCGCCTATTCTCTAAAGTTGTAGAAGATTCTCGAGTATAAGAATCAGCAATATTTGTGTGTACGTAAACGCTAGCGTTAGCGTCAGGGTTGTTCTGTATACTGAAATTTCGAGAAACACTCCACACGCCTATAAATGTAATCAACACGACGCTCCAAAAAACAGTATCTATCATTGGTTTGCTATAATTGGTGTGATATAAACTTCAGAAGCTATAACTATGATTGTTATAACGCTTATTAATCGGGAAACCAGGAACATTTATAAATTTCGAACATTTCAAACCAATTAAATTCAGTGGATTCTCATCGGACATCAGTACTTTTACGAAAAACATTACCTAACTTCAACGGTGGAAAACTCGGCGAAGAACACAGAGCTAGCTATCTAACTATGAAGTGAATCGTACCTACGTCAACTCGAAATTAACTCGCTCATCGTGAACCCTCAATAAGACAACAAGGAAGTTCCAGACTGGAAAGAAGACTATATATTGCTTGTAAGTTTATAATACTTTTGTTATTGTAAATTGTATTATTGGCTGTATATTAAAATATATTTGTATTTTTTAAAAAAAGAAACTGTGTATATCAGTTTTGTTGGTAAGTATCATAAATTGAATATATATTGGCATTTATTTAATTATTAAATCTAAATTACAATTTAACTCAGTTTTAGGCTATTTGAAATTGCAATTCCTAACACAACTTGCTCATTATAGTGTATTTTCGGAAATATATGTTGACAATATTCAGATATTTATACGAGGTGTCTAAGAGAGTGAGTGACACATTCTCAGTCTATTCGACAATGTGTATCAGAACTATTTTTTAACGAAACTGTTAAAAATAAAGAAGAACATTTACGAAACAGTGTAGATATGCTAATATTAACAGTGTAGAAAATCACGAACAATAGTTTGTTATTTTAATATCAAGCAATTTTGTAAGTATCTTTTTGCGTTTCACTTTTGAATGAAAAGTAAATAATTTGTCATCCAATTTAAATTCACTTTTTTCTTTTAAATCATTATGCAGGTATATTTCCCCTTAGGTTTGAAAATAAACTCATTAGGAAAATTAGGCCTGAAGTAATTTATTATGTATAAGTTGTTTTAAACTTACAGGTTTAAGATTTCTTCAAGATAAATGTAGTGTTGCGTCAGCGAGGTCACGTGACTAGTATCACGCCACTTCCTTCTCGAACATTCGTGAATTGTCGGGAGATTACTAGATTGGGGGTAGTCTGGTA